GAGAGAGAGGACGATTCATACGCAGAGGAAGCTAACGCGGGTCCTTGTGTGAGCGCACACATGGCGATGTCGTGGGGATGCATGACAAAACCGAGGCTGCGAGCAACAGGGCCAAACAGGGCACAAACATGATGCATACTCTGAAAGGTGTGCGAAGAAACGCATAACGCATCAGTCCCACCGGAGGCAATAAGAAATCAAGGAGCAATAGGTGGGCTGGGGAGGTGAGAACCAACATTCCCCAGCGAAGTGAGGAGTGAAATGGCAAAACACAAGGAAAAGGGAGGAGTGAAAAAAAACAGGCGGCATGTATACACCACACAAAGGACGGGACTCGGGAGAAGGTCGGTCGTGTACTTCCAGACAGAGAGCTCCTCAACTCAACTTTCCATTCGTCTGGGCACGCTTCGTGCTGGCACTAGCACCGCTGCGGAGGAGATGGCCTTGAATGTCATCGGCAGAGGACTGACTAGAGGCGGAAGCTCTCCGAGACGGGGGCTCGTCTTTGGTCTTCGCAAGGGTTTCAATAAATTCGTTGCTGCTGCTGTGGCTGCTGTTATTTTTGCTCCGCGAGTTGTGAGCAGCATTCTCCGCGACTAAATCCCAGTTTACGGTGTGCCCAATGTCCGGGTCTATTGGCGTTTTGGGTTCCGTGTTTTGGGAACGTCGTGTTGGAAAGAGGGAGATGGGCATGAAAATGTACACGTAGATAATCACGAGTGGGACGCCCAGAATCACTATTAGACCTAGAGGGGTAGAATGAGAAAATAAACGCATTCGGGATGTGAACACTAATCAAAGGAACGGAATGTTAAATTGCAACGGCTGAAACCGCAGGAAGGCAAATTTAAGTACTAATTACAATATTAGCATTAGGACAGCACCGGGAGTTCATCCTCACAGCGAGCAAGCGTATTCCTCATTATAGGAAATCTGACAAGCTTGAACCTGTCACGGCGCGCTCAACCAGCGCTAAGATAAGATTCGAAATCTTCGCCTGTCTTAATGTGAGGTGGGTGCAGGAACGTGTGGCAGCTGTTGACGGACGTTCTACCATTGTCAGCCACAGCACCTACGGCCGCCTTTGGTAGCATTGCCAGTTTGAGGACGGTGGGTATAAGGAAAAACGAGGAAGATACAGCGCAAGTATACTTCACGCCTGTGACCAACTCACAGGGGAAAAGTAGACCACAGTGCTAGTGAATTTAAAAGTATCGAATGGATTGGATAGTTTATGATCCACACGGCTGGCACTTGATCCGATAAATCCTTACATTAATGCAAACGCATACGACAGTTCGAACGTCACTTTGGAGGATGTACACCACGAGCCTCAGCAAGCTGAAGCAACGCGGTGACTCCCACGAGATTATAGTGAAAGAAGACACTCACCACTACCACACCGGGACCCAATGTCAAGACAAGAGTCGAGAAGACTGGAGATGGGGGAGGGCGCAGGCGACTGGCGCGACAAACATTCAACACGAGTACCAACAGCACACCTCGTTAGTTAGGATCCCGCATGTGCGGGAGTGCCATAAAGGCCACATTAAGAAAAAGCCATTGAGCCCGAACACACACGCAATGAGTCAGTGTCCTCATAAATCTAAATTTATTTGATCGTAAACATACATAAAAATATTATTTATCTAACTCCCTTGGTAGAAACTGACGCCCTCTTGAAAAATGATGCTTGAAGAAAAGGTATCTTCGGCTTTTAAGTTTTTTTAATAATGACATTTCTCAATATACTTACATGCTCATTCATAAAGCAGGCCCAATATAAATTTATTAATGCTGCTTGCAAGGTAAACTTTATGGTCCACATTCACCACAACTTTTTCTGATTCCCTTGTAACTTCTTTTTAATAGCGCATAATACTGCGAGATTCGCATTACTCGGAAAATACACTGCTTGTAGCACTAACATCTTAGGTGCAGGTTGGGTTAAACATTTTTCAGGAATTTACAAACTTTCTTAAACCAAAAGATGCCCTTCCTTCAATCATAAAAATTAGAAGAGGTAATTTTCAGACAACTGAGCACAATTAGGAGCATTTTTTCGATAAAATTTTTAAATTTACAATTGCATTGGCAATCAATGGGAAAAATGCATACAACTTAAATAGTTATTTCTACACCATGCAGTTGTTACAGGTGGACAGAAAAGAACTTCTTCTAAAGTCGGTATCCCGACATGACGGGAATATGCTGCTTAAGTAATCTTTTCTAATGGAAAAAATGCCGGGATTTCGTGAACATTTTAGGAGGCAACACATATACACGAGTAAAGTCATCTACTGTATCGTAAATAATGAAATTTGAGGACCATAATTCAGTTCGGAGCACTCCGAGCACTGTGCATTTTACCGATCAGTAAGTTAATGGATAAAATGCAAAGTGCTCAAAAAAGCTTCTTTTTATACGAAGTGTACTTCGAAGTTGTTTTATCAACAAAATTTATGGGGAAAAAGCACTAATATTTATATTTTCAGTTTTCTATGTTAATGGCTGTGCTTGTCAACCTCCGTACATAAAAGTATGTTACCCTAATAGGCTGCAAGTAATCTGATCGGTAGATGTACGAAAAAGACCTTAACCGCCTTGAAATTTAATGTTTCTGTTCGCTTAAATAAGACGGAGCAAGCCATGAATCGGCACGTGGCTTTCAGAAAAAGAACAGTTTTTTCGTTAAAGCAACTCGTTATTAAGTCTGTCCAAATTTATGTCGTAAATGTAGTAATGACGTCAACAGGCACTCGCTTGTTTTGACACAAACATAAATCCGCGAGTAACTGCGGAAAGGTCCCATATCACGCCAAGAAACTTACTGTGTGGTCTAGGGTCGGTTGATATGCAATATAGAAAAGAGACAGATGCAGCGTTAACTGTTTCAGCCTTGTTTTAAACTTACAATCACAGAAGGCTCAAAAAGAAAGAAGACCAAAATCCTCCCCAAATAAAAACCAGTTTCTTCGTTTACAGCAAACATTAATATCTACTAGGGGTTTTCGCAGTTTTGAATAAATAATTGGGCCAAATTGTGAAAAGTCTGGGGCTTCGGTGGAAGTCGAATCAACGACGGCTAAGGGAAGACATTCGCATAGCCAACATTCTAATCGCATGAGTTACGAGGACCCACTGGGGACCATGAGGTAAACCAGACTGAAATCAACTTAGTGCCCCCGATAATCATTTGGTGGATTAAAGATTGATTGCGTAGGAAATTTTGCCAGAACAGCCGCCTTACTATATCCGAATAGGTGGACTCGATACGCCACAGTCGGCTGGATGGATAATTTGACCCCCGAAAAATCAATACGCAGAGATAAGAGCTTTCAAAAGCTGTCTAATTTTGAGGGCTTGAATAAAAGATCTAATTGCAGACCTTATATTTCGGAATAATTGCTTCAGGTTGCAGGTTGAAAACTGCAACGTATTAACTGGCATTTCAGCATGGTCACCAGAAAGCACACGGTAAGGTTAGGGCAAACAATTAATCTTCATACACAAACACGTGTGCTCGTGACTACATCTCATAATTTTATTACAACGTTGTAGACACCAACCAATTCCTCTGCACGCGCTCTTATGCAACTTTTTTGTTCTGGAGAGGTCTTACTCATTTCAAACAATACAAGAACGAATTATTAATTAGAAAACTCTTAATACCTTGAAATTTAGTCATGGAGCAAGTAGTTGATTCGTTGTCATACTTCATTTTCAGCAATTAGTAGAGGCTATACAGCCAAAACATTCAAAAAATGACTTAACATATTGATGTGTTTATACTGCTTTATTTTCCAGATTGTTGGCATGAGGTGAATTTTTTGACTTACGGCATTTACCGTTTTCTCAAGAGGCATCTTATTCCCAAACAACGTAGTGCAAAAAGCGATTTTTCCTTTTGCTGTCAACTAAACTACGTCAGTCCAGTACTAGTGCTGAGCTTCTCACTAGGCACTTGGGCTGATTTCTGACTGATTAGAAATTTTTCATAAATCTACGCACAGTTCACAATTGACGTCATCTACAGAGCATGCACTTTGAAAATTCAACAATCCAGGTTACATGTGAATGTTTCCAACTGACATATTAAAATTCCGAACTTTCACAAAAATAACAATAGAAACTAATAAGTGGTTGACACTAAAAGTTAAAAATTTGGTCATAAAGTGAGAAGGAGTAGACAGCAAAAGTTATAAATAGCCTAAGTGCATGAGAGGGAAAGTACTCAGAGTCGCGTAAAATGTCGAAGTTTGCGAGAGACTGGTAATCAGTTGCAATCCCGATCTGTTCTAAACTTTAAAATGCAAAAAAGAGTGACCATATACACAGCAAGATTTTGAACTACAATTATTATCCTTCTGCCTGTTCCATTTCTACAAAACGCTTATGCAGAAACCATGGAGTGCAAAAAGTATATTTCTACATGACTCACATGTAATAATATCTGTTCTACATTACCTTCACGTCTAAATTACCCGATGCGGTAAAACAAAATGCTACCAAGCGTTTTTGTTAGCGCATTTTTCTGGCAAAAATATTCACAGGTCGGCAAAAATAATTTTAAAACTGAAATGCTTCCTTGTTTCCAAAAAGTGTCATTCCTTGAGGTTGGCTTTACTTGCATCTGAGCGACTTCGGGACTAAATTTTCCGGTTTTCGAAGGGGTATATTTCAAACATTTCTTAATTATTTTGGGGTTTTCCCATACTATAATGCACATTAATAAAAAGTTTGGTTCTGTCATACAAAATAGCGAAGGAAATTTCTTCGACATAAGGCTGTTCCCGAGTTAGACAAAATTAATGCCCATTACCCTTAATAAACTGAAATAAAAAGTAGGTTTCCCAACTAAAAGGCTTTCATTGGAACAAAATAACGTGACCAAATATATACTAAACTACCAAGTCAAATTTCGTCATGACCTCTGCACGAATTCGTAGGCATACTGTACAAGTAGATATTACCGATCGCCGTGTTTTCACATCGAAACTATCTTGGCAAAACAATCCACATCCAGTGATACCAAGCCGCTCGGGTGTCAGGCAAAAGTCATAGATGAATGGGACCGACAAAAAAACCAATCAGAGGTCAGTATCGTGAGTTTTTATTGAACATCATTCATCATAACCAACCATGCAAACTCGCGCCGATGGTGCGAATAGGCAAACGAAGAAGATTTCTGAAGATTTAGTACTCAAAATGGAACATCCATGAGCGAAGAAGATTGGATATTAGAATGCAAATACTGCAGAATTAAGCAGCTTACTTCTGGAGTTGATTGTGCACAAATTTAGCAACAAAGTAAAAGCCTAATTATAACTCAGAAATTGTTTAAATTAAAGCCCAGGCCTGCACAGAGTGATGCATACATTATTCGAAAGAATGAGCTTACTAAAAAAAGAACTTGAAGTGCATGTGTGCAACTAAATTTAGCGGGTATGAAGCATAGCCCATTGGCAGTCTGTGTGTTCGTTTGCAAGTCAAGCATATAATTAGGTCATTCCATACCTTCCTCGACCAGTTGAGGCAAAACTGATACTGGCTGGCTGACATGACACCCAGAGAGACTTACGATAGGTGAGGTAATCCATGCAAAGTCATGATCAAAAAGGGATTTGGTAGTTTAACATAAATTTGGCCATGTTATTTTGATCTAATGTTTAGATTTGATTCTGAGAAAGCCTTTGGAAACTGCCCGTTGAGTTTAGTTTACTTAACGAAAACAGGCAGAATTTTGGCGAAATAGGAGGTTGTCTGATATCGAAGAA